AAGGCACATATCCCCAAAGTTTCAGCTTTCTAGCTTTTCTGGGTCTCGAGTTGAAAGCGGGTGACAAAAAGTGCGAACGCACAGACACAGACACACACACGCACACACACACACACACATACACACAGACAGCCTCTTCCCAATATGCGTTTTTGCAATCTACATATATGCAAAAACGCATAAAAAACTTTCGTGGACCCGTACGTGGCACCACGCATACCCGATGTCTGGGTTTGAGCTCGTTGAGACTTACGAGGAACATTCCCTTAAAATTACAGCCCTCTAGCTTTTCAGGTACTCGAGTTAGCAATTTATCCGAAAAAAATTCTGGCGGATCTTTACGTGGGTATCACGAGGGTAACAGCGCCCATTTCGAGATGGGGGCCCGTACGCGTATGTAGATTAAGTTCCCCAAGTTTTAGCCCCGTAGCTTTCGTGGGTTTCGAGATGAAAAATGGGTACAGATGCGCAGCGCACCCACAGACACAATACAAAGACAACCTCTCGTCCATATGCGTTTTCTACATTACACAGTTGCAAAAAACGCATAATCAAATCACATCGTGAATCGTGCTGTTGTAATTGTGCAGTACATATTCTGTCGGACATCATAATCACAGTTAAGGACACAGTCCTTCACATCTAAAACTGTTTGGAAATGGCACTGGATTTAAGAATGCTTTAACTCTGAAAACAAATTTGTAGTCGTAAACTTTAGCATGAGCATCTACTAGTATCTGTGTTAGAATTGGTTAGCCAGTTGCACTGATTTATTTGCAGGGAAGACGGCTGGTGGTTAGCGCAAAATGAGCATGGGATTCGCGGGTACGTCCCGAAAACATTCTTAAAAGCCTGTAAAGTGCCTGAAGGAACTAAGGAAGATAAAACGGGAAAAAGAATGAATGAACCTGTACAAGCGCCTCGCCAACGAATTACAACTGAAGTTAAAAGCCGAGCATCGGCAAGAAGTGAAAATGGTGCAGCTACGAAGCAAAGGACAGCAACAGATTTCGGAGAAAAAGCGAAAATAAGTGAAAAAACTAGTAATATGTCTAAGCCCGTTGCAAAACAAAAGGAAAGGACTGAGACAATGATTCTGGAAGAGTCAATATCCGAAAATACCGAAGATTCAGAAGCAGAAAGTGATAAATTAAAAGCCAGTGCGTCGAAGGTAAAATCGTCGGGGAGTTCTATTCCTCAGGTAAATTAACATTATTTAAACAAACTTGATCCTATCCTTTCCACAGCGATGCTTTTTTTTCAGAAAAAAATAAAAATTTAATAGCTTTCATCGCTCCAGTAAATGCCATCAAGGAATGTAAGCGCCAAGCAGTTTTAGTTCTTTCTTCTTTCAGGCATCAAGAAGTTCAAGCTGCGTTACCGTGCTGGCTGGTAGTCAGAATGGTAAGGATTCTTATAAATTATAATGATGACTGAGAAAAATGAGAAAATTATAGAGCTTGGTTTAAATCCAGCATGCGCTAGGATTTCCAATATTGGAACAATACATGCATTTGCTGCTTGAATGACAACAGCTCTAAAAGTTTTTCGTTGTTAATAAGGCCATTGATAGCCCTCACTGTCGCGAAAACTGGGCTTTCATGACATTTTATTTATGACCGAGAATGGTTTAGGTCAAAGCTCCTCCATATGTACCATATGTAGTTTCTTTGAAATAATTGATGTTATGATGATAATTTATCGGATGCGTTTAAATGAAGTTTCAAGCGCAAGGGTATTCCAGATGTTTTTTTAGAGGGTGAACGCATCCCAGAAGTCAGTTTATGAGTCCATCGCCTACCTGTAAAACTCCTGATAAATGAGGCTGGGGACAAGGTAGGGCTTAAAAGTAAGCCTTTGGAGGCAAAGAGTTTTTGTTTTGTTTTCCTGGTTATTTTTTCTGTTTTTTATGCGTTTTTGCCGTGCAACGTTAGGGCGCTGCAACAGGCATCAAAAACGCACATTGCAACGACCCTGTCTGTGTGTGTGTATGTTTTTATGTGTGTGTATGTGTTCGTCTATCCGGGTATTTCAAGTCGCCAATCGAGCAAGCTCTGAAGCTGAAATTTTGCTGGTGAGTTCCCCAGCCAGGTGCCACCCCAGGACCGGGGTGTCAACCCTCTCGCACATCTGGACTCCGCGTACAAGCACGTGAAAGTTTTGGCGGGAAGACTCCATTCTCGTCATTTACTCCTGGCGATGCAGGCTGAAGACGTTTAATTTTTGACTATTTGATTTCTCACATAATCGGGGTATAAGAAGTAGAAATACGGATTTTTGCAGTAACCGAATCCAGTAAAAGAGATAGAAAACTAAAAAATAAGAGATGAGACTGTAAAATTTCTTGTGTCTTACTGATGTTATGTGGTATCAGTGTTACTTATATGCACACATTTTCAGCGCCAGCAGAAAATCATCTCACATATAAATGTTACTTGGCACCGCGTCTGAGCGAATCAAATCTTGCTTTCCACGATATTTATTGGAACTATGACGATAACAGGGCAAGTTTTTTGATCGATCTTAAATTCACTGGGCGTGGCACAACCACGAGACTGGCTATCAATCAATGCAGTTGTCGTTAGAACAACCGAATAAGTTGTCACCAACACAGAGCATCTAACTGTGAAACAATAATGATCTAAGTGTAGTTTAACCAGCTTCCTCTGAAAAACTTAAATTTGCAGGTATCGCGACCCTAATTGTTATTTTATTAGATTAGTGAGTACCCCGTTGGTATGTATATATATATATATATATATATATATATACATATATATATATATGTATATATGTATA